GCCGTCGTCGACCGCCGCCCGCTCGCGCGCGCCCGCCTCCGCCGACCCGACCCCCCCGGCGCCGTCCGCATCCTCCTCTTCCTCACCACGCACCTCTCCGCGAGGCACACGCGCGAGTCCAGCATCGTCACCACCGGCCGCCCCGACCTCCAGGGCACCGTCGAGTACGTCACGCAGGCGGACCGCGAGACACTGCCCGACCTCCGACACTATGCAAGGGGAATGACCACCAAGTACGGCCAGCAAGTCAGTGAGTGGCATGTCAGCGTCTTGCTTTACCCGAAACCCGGCGCCAACGTCCATGCCGTCCAACGCGCCGTTCAGCGCAACGCCCAACTCAGTCTCACCTTGCGCGTCATCCGCTTTTTCGATAACTCCACACACGGCGTCCCCCTCCATCTCTCCCTGCCCCTGCCCTGCATCCTCGGTTGGCACACCCCGGGTCTTGAGCGCCGCCGCCCGGTCTGCGACCACACCCCGCACAACAACCCGCCCGATGGCGCTGTCGCCCTGCTTTCCAAGCCCTTGCACACCGACAAAAAGCGCGACCCGCACTACTTTTACGAGGTAGCTCACTGGGCCACGCGTGCCCTCTTTGGCCCTGTTCGTTTTGACGCCATCGTCGTTCCCATTGTTGTTGACGTCTCCGTGTCGGAAATGGATTTCCATTGCGACGGTGCTCCAGAGTCTTGTAGACAAGACTTGCTCGATGTCAATCAGGGAATGCTCGAGCGCATCGCAAACGCCGTGGAAACTGAGTTTAGCCGCATGGCTATCCCAACCGCCGATTTTTCGAGGGTCATGCTCGTCCCGACTTGCCGTCTCGGCAGTCACGCCAACGGCACGGAGAAGGAGGACCCTTGCAGCGCCAGTACCGGTTACGGCCAGTTTTATACCGCCTTTTCCACATATGCCATGATTGCCCCATACTTCAAGGTAACTTCACAACAACAACACCATCCAAAACACGCCCGCCCGCTGTTTTCAAAAATCCTCAAACTAACATTTCCGAGTGCATACAAAACAAACAAACAAACAAACCCTTTCCAATTTTTCTTCGCGATCCATCCCTTGTCTCGATAGTGGGCCGTCAGCATGGACCTGGACGAATTTCTCTCTCCCGTCCCCCTCTTCGGCAATGTCAAG